TTTTCACTGCTCATCATCTAACACATGCTAGGAATCGAACGTTGAAATGTAATTCCTCGTTGATCTTTAGCTTTTTCAAGTTTCGACTTTTGAGGGTTGTCATTCGTAGGGGGTGACAGCTGGTTAACGGAAAAACATAAAACTCCTGAGTGAGACACTCGCAATTAGTCTCTGAACTGCAATCTATTCAAAGTAATATCCAGTCTTTAAGTAACACTTAGATCACTAATAGAATAGATCACTGGCCTTGTCGTGCAACAAGCTAGTGTTGAAAATGTGGAGTCAGTTGAAGAAGAAAAAAAGGAAGAGAAAATATCAACCACTCTGCAGCAACGACTGCCCTAAAGTAAGTACTTAGAACAACAATCAACAGCCAAAAAAGTGCTGCGACACAGCAGCTAAATCAAGGTTACAGAAATTGAAACAAAAGAAAACACTACTGATTATTTTAAGTAGCTTTAAGATTTAAATATGTTTTCATTTTTTACTTATAACTGAAACACATTTTTATTATTTATTTGGTTTGTGTTTGTATGATTCAACACACATAATACATACATCGTTTATATATATGTAGATATCCCAATTTATGATATCGTTAGTAAGAAAGAAACCGTTATGTGTAATGGATTACAATCAAGCTAAAAAGGAAGTGTATTATACTGAAAAAATATTTTCTCAACACTCTTGACAAAAAAATATGAAGTGATACAAGTTTAATTGAAACACTTCAAAATTACGTCAAATCATATAATTCTATTTTTATGAAAAACTTATTTTAAGCAAAGAGTTGTGAATCTCTTGATCATTTATAACATGGAATCAATGGAAAACCATGTAGTGGTTGTTAAAAAATTAAAGAGAAATTTTGCTGATAAAAGTTGCTGATAAAAAATGATGAATATATTTTTTAACGGACTTCAATGAAGCATACAAATACTTCTTGGAGCAAAATTTCAGCATTCGGGAAAATTATTTTACTGTCATAACAGAAAATATATGACAAGTTATGATTATGATTGTTTTACATTACACGTGTTTCTAGTACGCCGGAATATACATGAATTATGTTCTACATGAGTTGCAGTATTCTCTTGTAGAATTCTTCACTGAAGGTTTCTGCTTTAGTTATATACTCTTCTATAGATGAAGTTGATCAACTATAATTAAGTAATGCACAAAAGTAAGAGTTACTCAAAGTATCTTTTTGGGAATGACTCATTAACAAAAAACTAAATACCATTTTTTTTATCTTATTTTGTTAATAACAATTGCAATTTTTTACCTGCACCAAAATCCTTCAAAAACATTTTTCTAGAGGTGATTCCGAATCGAATAAGCTTTCGCTCATATTTTTAGAACCTTTATCTCAATTTTTCATGTTTTTGAACTTGTTGATTAGACTATAATAGTGACTCAGAGATTCTTCATAAAAACTTTCTTTACTTTCTCAACATTTTCATTGGCTGCTGATGTGCTGGAGCGTCCAGGGCGAGCGTCGTCGTTCATATCTTCTCGACTCTCTTTGAAAACCTTGTACCACTGGTAAATATTTTTCTGAGTTAGAGTACCATCACCGTATGCCACTGTCAACATTTCAAGTAATTTTGATTACTTGATCCCTTTAATTAAACAATATTTGATGCACATTCTTTGAACAATTTTTTTATAGCAGAAAATCGCCGAACACGCAAAACACTTCTAACATTTATGCCTCTCACTAACAAACTAAACATGCTGAACAGCTGAAACTGTGAACATATGTTCGAGACGAGTGTACCAACATAAAAAAATCACTAATGGAATGTACGTAGCCCGCAAAATTTGAACATTCACCTTATTTTTTGAACAATCCTCGTATGTAATACTTACTTTTTTTCGGGAGAAAATAATGAAAATACATTTTTCAACATTGAATAGCTATTTGTTTTTTTGTTGTTCCATAATTAGGTCTAAATTTCCAAAATAAGTACTTTTCGCAAACACCAGACCTGCAATACTCTTCTTGACGCGCGTTTCACCAACCACGAGAAATAGTATTGTAGTTCTGGTGTTCGGGAAAAGCGCTTGGTTCAATTCTTTTTTTAAAAGCATATAGTCTTCAATAATTGAAATGTTTCTATAAATTTCCAATTCTATCAAAATTGGATGAAAATATTCAATAAAGTGCGGCATTATTTATATTCCAATCAGACAATTTCCATTTACTATGTTATTTATCACAAACTCAAAAAGAACTTTATTTGACTTGACATTTCTTAATTTTTTTACATTATGCTAAGAAAAAAAATGTTGAAGCTCAAGAGTTCAACATGCATAATTAGATTCAATGTTGAATTACAAATGTTCTGTTCCAACACACTAGCTGCGAGCACAGAATTTTTTGACCCATGTTTCACCAATCAAGTTATTGTTATCTGCAGATAATCGTAACTATGTCTCGTTTACAATCATTTCACGATGATGCCAACATGGTCAGTAAAATATTTGTCGAGAAAGTTATGGAGTCATAGTAATTCTATGAGATGCAGATTCCAGTAATGTTTATTAAAACGCAATGTATTCAAAAAATATATTAATCACTTCACAAATCATTGTAACAAAAGAGGCACAAATATTTACTGTTCATGGATACAAATACTTCAATATCATTATGAAAATAGAAGCTCTCTGTAATCAAAGAAATAATTTTAAAGTAAATATGACCTCTTGGAAAATGCACTAAGAACACAGAACATTGGAGCAATATCTCTAAAGAGAAAAAATAGTCATTGGCAGTGGTGATACAAAACCTAAATTATATGAAAGAACGAACAAACATGAAATGCTTAATACTTGAATTAAGAGATACCGAACAATAAACACGAACATTTTCATTCATTTTTCACATAGATTTTATACTTTAGCTATTCCACACTATTCCTCTTCTTGAAAGTATGGTATATATGACAAACTATGATGCGAGTTGTCATATTCCAAAAGTAAAATAAAAATTGGGATAGCCAGCACTTAGGAATATTTTCAAAAAACATTAGCAGAAGCTATCATTTTGATGGGAATGTTTCATGGCGAAAAATTCTGTGTATCCCAGAAATTTCTATTTTGAATGGAACAAGACTCACATATTCATACAAATAGAGATTCAATAAATGTTCTGTATTTTTGTTCGGTTTTAGCAAATATTCATTAAAAGACAAAATAT